ATCATGAAAACAATCTGGTACTGGCTAAGAAATAGAGTGGTGGATCAGAGGAATAGATTAGGTATGTAATGCACAGTAGTAAATGACCACAGTAATCTACTATTTGATTAAACCCAAAGATCCAAGCCTTTGGGACAAGAACTCACTATTTGGCAAAAATTGCTGTGAAAAATGGAAAGCAGTTTGGCAGAAACTAGCTATAGATCAGCATCTCACACAATATACCAAAATAAGGTCCAAATATGTACATGATTTCGACACAGAGGGTGGTATTATAAGCAAATTACTGGAAATTATAGAAAATTATACCTGTAAGATCTATGGAAAAGGGTAGAACTAAACAAGAGATAAAAAGGATGACAGGAATTAAAATGGATAATTTTGTTTACATTAAGTTTAAAAAGTTTTTGCACAAACAAAACTAATGCAGTCAAGATTAGAAGGAAAGCAGGAAACTGGAGGGAATTTTTTACAGCAAGTTTCTTTAATAAAAGGCTCAGTTCTCAAACACATAGGGAACTGAATCAAATTCATAAAAAATATGAGCCAATCCCCAATTGATAAATAGTTAAAGGATATGAACAGGCAGTTTTCAGATACAGAAATCAAAGTTATCTATAATCATATGAAAATTGCTCTAATCACTATTGATTAGAGAAATGCAAATTAAAACAACTCTGAGGTACCACCTCACACCCACCAAATTGGCTAATATGACAGAAAAGGAAGATGATAAATGTTGGAGGGGATGTGGAAAAATTGGAATACCAATGCCCCATTGATGGAGTTGTGAACTGATCCAACCATTTTGGAGAGCAATTTGAAAGTATGTAGGAAGGGCTATCAAGCTTTGGTCCAGCAATACCACTACCAGGTATATGTCCCAAAGATATGAAAGAAAAAGTCAAAGGACTTATATGTATACAAATATTTATAGCAGCTCTTTCTGTAGTGGCAAAGAATTGGAAATTGAGGGGAGACCCATCAGTTGAGGAGTGGCTGAGTAAGTTGTGGTACATGAATGTAATAGAATACTATTATACTATGTGAAATAATGAACAGGATAGTTTCAGAAAAACCTGGGAAGATTTATATGAATTGATAAAAAGTGAAGTGGACAGAACCAGTAGAACATTGCACACACTATCAACAATATTGCATGACGATCAACTGTGAATGACTTAGTTTTTCTTATCAGTACAGTGATCCAAGACAATTCCAAAGGATTTATGATGAAAAATGCTATCTGCCTCCAGAAAGAGAACTGGTGGAGTCTAAGTGTAGATTGAAGCATATTTTTTCATTTTCTTTATTTTTCCTGCTTTTTTTTCAAAATGACTAATATGAAAATGTTTTACATGATTTCACATGTATAGTTGCTAATAGCTGGCCCTGTCAATGGATGGGGGAGGGGTCAGAGGAGGGAAGAGAACATTAGAACTCACATTTTTAAACAATGAATGTTAAAATAAATATTAAATTTGAAGAAAAAAACCTAAAAGAATACCTCACCACATATTTTTCACTATCTTCAATCCATTCTCACCACCCCCTACAAAAAAAAACCTATCAGGTTTAATTGGAGAGGGGGAGCTGGAGGGTCTTATTTACTATGAATAAGAAGATTTGGCTTGACATTCATAATTGGGTAGAAATGACTAGGGAGCTCTCCCTGATTTCTAGCCTGAATTCCAACTATTTGGATACTGCCCCCTACCTATTCATGATCCATTCCTGAAGCTAAAGCAGAGTCTAGAACTGTCTGTCCTTGCAGACTGCCCGATGGTTGGCTGGCTTCCCTCTCAGGCAGGAGAAAGGAAGCCAGAAGGATGGTGAGTTAATGGTGTTAAGTGGAAGGAAGGGAGGGAGGAAGGAGGGAGGGGGAAGGGGAGGCAGTTCACTGCTCAGTCCTTGGCCTTGTTAAAAAATTGACAGCACGTTTGAGTCATCCCTTCCTCTGTTTTTCAAACAGTGACCCTCATTCCTCCCCCACCCAAACTCCCCCTCATACTCTTTCTGAATTCTGGATAAACTGGGGTACCTGGCCTATGATATCCCAGCATTTAAGTCTCATCTGGATCAGAAGGCATCCTGGAACCACTTCCCCCTCCCCATACCACTCTGGCTTCTTTCCTAGCTATCAAAGGGGGGGAGGGGCATAATGGGGAAGAGTATATATCTGGAACACAGAAGCTAATGTGGTTTGTGGAGTCATCAGCCATCCAAATCTGCGTCATCACTAAGACACACACACACACACACACACACACACCATCATCATCATCCTCCTCCTTTTGTTCCTACTATCCCTATTCTTATAAGAAGTCTCAGCTTTACCTACTCTCAGTGATGCTTTCAGCACTCCCAAGTCCCAGAGTTCCCATTCCAAGATAGCCCCTTCCCCAGTCTCCCAGATCAGACCCTAAAGTAGGTTTGAGATAAAAGGTTTCCTATATTTCTTTCTCTCCTTTTGCGCTGAAGAGCTGATATGGACAAAGGATCCTGGGAGACTGAGGGCCAAAGTGGTGGGATCTCTGGGGAACCTTGTCAGGATGGATCCTTGGGGAACCTTGATCTTGTTCCATAATCTTCAGATCAGGAGGGTTCATTCTGACCTGGAGGAAGAGAGGATCTAGGGCTGCACTGGGTTTAAGGAAATGTTAGGGTTTCAAGACAGTCTTTAATGAGATAGGTGGTTTAAAACAAAAATAAAACAATTCTACCTCGCCTGAGCCCCAAGCAGGCAGAGTTGCTCATCTGAAAACAGACAATTGGAACCAGATCACCTGTCCTTCCCAACTTGGGCTGAGCCACAATCGGTGACCAGAGAGGAACTGCTGCAGTGGATGGATGAGGTAGATCCAGAAGGGCTAGGGTGTGGGGAGCAGGTTCAAGGACTCAGCCCTCCCCCAAAACAAACTTATTTCTCCTCTCTGTACAAGACCCGAGGTCACTGTTATTTAGAGTTGGTAGAAACCTTAGAGAATATCTAATTCAACCAGTTTCTAGGAACTGAGGCAAGTGTGTCTATTGTATGCAGAAAGAGATATGAAGATGATATAGAAAAACCCTTGCTTTCAAAGAGTTTACAATCTATTAGAGTGATGAGCCTATAAATTAATATCATCATACAAGGAAAACAATGTGATAAATGCAGAGAACTCCTGGTAGTGCCAGAAGAGATGAGGGAAAGAATACTTCAAGCTAGAGGGATCAGGGAAATTCACATAAATGAAGTAATGATTTTGAACTAGGGGATAGATTGAGATGAGGAATAGCTCGATCCATTTAAGATAAGGATGGGGTGTGGGCAGGAGGAGAACAAGCAACAGGGAGCAGTCCAGTTTGGATGGAAATGTACGTGGAAGGGAGTTGTATGAACTAAGGGTAGAACATCAGACTGGAGACAGAATGTGAATATCCTTGAATGTCAGGATAGGGCGTTTATAGACAATGGGAAGTCAATGAAGGTTTTTTAATCAGCATGACAGCAGCAAACATGATCAGAGCATTAATGATGCCCTTTATCCTTTATGAATTTGGAACCTTAAGAAAAAAGAGCAGGAGTTTTTAATCTTTATTTTGTCATGGACCTCTCTGGAAGTGTGGTGAAGTCTATAGCCCCTTTCTCAGAATAATTTTTTAAAAAAATTCATAATTGAAGGAAATACTAAATTTCCCTTAGTAAAAATAAAGATGTAATTTTTTTTCTCCATCCGAGTTTTGTGGACTCCAGAGTTAAGAGCTCATACGTTGGAGGTTAAAGTACTTGGCAAACTTTCAAGCGCTTAATGAATGCTGCCTGATAGTATTCGTACAGGTGAGGTGAAGAATCACAGAATATTAGGTCAGAAATCATCTAGTCCAATCTCCTTGTCGTCAAGATGAGGAAACTGAGATCTAGCCAGCTAGGAGAAATAACTGGCCCACAGTCTCATCGCAAATGAATTGCAGAGCAAAATACAAACTACAGAGAGGGTCTGAAAGCTGGCCAGGCTTTCGTAGATTCCTGGGGGAATGGGGCCCGGTGCTCTAATCAGCACCAAGGAACCTCCTACCCCACACCGTCTTCCACATCAGGAGTTGCTAGGAGGTGAGAATCAAAGGGGACACCATTCAAACCCCGCCTTCCTCTGTCGCTAAGCTGTCTTGGTGCGCATTGGGTTAGGAAGAGGGCTGCTAGCAGCCCCCCAATGCCAAAAATGTGCCAAAGGAAAACAGGAGGGGCCTCAGCAGTCGCTGGACTGCCAGGGAGGAGCGGAGGGAGCGAGGTGGCTGGTGCAATCTGTCTGAAAGCAATCGATGCCCTGGCCTGAGCTGGGGTGGTGAAGAGCATTAGTCTCGGAGAGTAGCTGAACCCGTCAGATCTTAGAAGGGAGGAGGAGGGGCGGGGCGGGGCGGGGCAGGACTGGAAGTGTCGAGTTAACTGTGATATTGAGGACTTTGTCTGGTATTTGCTCCCCATCTGGTACTAGGGAATTGCTGGGAGAAGTTACGTAAGGAACCCAGACATTCGACTGTCCTTGGGGTCAGAATTAAAAGTGTTCTGGGTGTGTGGGTGTGTGGGTGTGTGAGTGTTCTAGGGGAGAAGAAAGGTCTATGGGGCAGGGGGCGGACTGATTTGGAAGAGGGAGTGATGGCGTTAGGTGTCCTGGGAAAGCCAATTCCTTGATAACTTAATCCGGACTTTTCTCTGGTTCAGTCTGTCCAGCCCCCTTGACACCTGTCCCCGTCCGCTCTTTCTCTCCCTTCTTCCATCCCCTGTACCCAGTTAAAGACTGTAGATTTGGGGGGACGAGAGGAGGCTCTTTCTATCTTCCTTTCTCCATTCTGACCCATGCCAACTCCAGGAAAAGGTGCAAAGTGGGACCCCGGCCCCTTGTGGTTGAGGAACCAGGAGGAGGGCGGGGGGGCTGCGAGAGGCGGGGCGGACAGGCCGGGAGCTCCAGGCCCCCTCCCTCCGCCCCCCTGACGTCAGCCCCGGGGCTGCTGCTAGCTAGCTCACTCGGCTTTAGCCCTCCGGCCGGGAAACATGGGTCTGACCAGGCTGCTCTGTACTCTTCTGCTAACCGCCTGCTGCTGCCGTCGCTCGGCCGGTGAGTTTGCCAGGAGACCCCAGCGAAGCAGGGGACGGGATGGATTGAGGGCTTCAGGAGGGGCTTGCAATGTTTGGGGGGACGAGGATGGGGTCCTGGCATTTGGAGGTGCGTGAGCCCTTATCCCCCATCCCGGAGACACCAGACTCCTCATGCCGCCTGAAAGTGGTGCTTGCAACTGCCGCTTAACAGAGTTGCAGGCTTCTAAAGAGTCTCAGGATCGGGATCATGGTTGGGGGGTGGGGGTGGGAGTGGGACAGGCAATTGCTGAGTCGGAGAAAGGAGTGCTAGAGCGGGTCGGGAGCCTTTTACGACTGTAGTGCATCTCCCCCATATACTCGTCTTATGGGGGGATCCCTGGTGAAGGCGGCCAGTAGCGCTGCCTTTGCCCCTTCCCCCCCCCCAAATCCTGAATGAAATAACGGCCTCTTGTGAGGGAGGGCGGTTTTCCTAGCTGGGATGGGGGAGAGCCCCAAGAGCCAAAGCCCCTCCTCCTGTGTTTTTTTTTTTAAGCCCGGGCAGAGGGCCAAGTTGGAGGTGAGGTGGGGAGGGGGATGGGCGGTGGGGACTCCCCTTCCACTCTGGGCGTTGGCAGGACTACCAGCCGAGAGGAGGAGGGTATCCGAAGCCTCCTGCCTAGCCTAGGGGAGGAAGGACAGGAGGGCTCAGGTACTGAAGCCAAGGCAAGCCTCCCCAGAGACCGAGGAAGTCCAGGCTCCTAGACCCAGAGCAGCCTTGCTTCCATACTCTTCATCCCTGAGCAGGGAGCTGGGCACACCGGGGTCCCCTCTGCCCTTGTATGGCCCGGAACGGAGCTACAGATGTTTCTTTTGGCTTTGGCTCCCCAGGGCCCTGCCCCAGTCAGGGTGGGGGGTGGAGGATGAAGGGGCAGTACCCAGTTCTCTGGCCCTGTTCCCAGTGCAGTCCCAGGGGTCTCTGGCGCCGCCTCCCAGACTAGGTTTATTTCTGCGGAAAGAGCTAAAATGGGCTTCTGAGCTTTGAAGTGTGTTCAACTGACCTAAGCCAACTGACTTACAAGAAAAGAAACTGAGGCACATCAGCTGGGCTCCTACCTCTCTTTAATGATGGGGCAACTCTTCAGGCTCTACACCTTTTGCCTGGTTCCCTCCCACCACCGTGGTCATGGTCTGGAGTGTTAGGATTCAGACCCAGACTTCCCTAAGTACAGCCCAGGCCACAGGACTGGTGACATCACCAGCCTGAAGGGGATGGCAGTGCAGGCTCCAACAACTGGCACCAGTGACATCATCCTGGAAAGGGGCCGGAAGAGGGATGGGGGTGTATAATCCTGGGGTTCTCTGCCCCACCAGCTCATTGCTCCTGACTCTGCCTAGGCTGCTACGGGGTGACAAATGAAGGAAGCAAGAGGGGATGCCCCATATGGAGTGATGTGCTCCAGGCCCAGGGCATGTCCCTGGTAAAGGAAGAGACCACAGACCATTTGGGGAGAGGGCACATGGGCCTAGCACCTTCTCTGTACCTCTGGGAGGGTGGCACACAAGGAATAGCTGAATGTGCTGCCCCTATCCTCCCCAACCAGACAAATGCCTGACATTCCCATAGCCTGAGCTCACCCAGAAGTTGAAGGGAGGGCTTCCTCTTGGCCCCAAGCCAGGGCTGCCCCTTTTCTTTTCCCTGCCATCTGGTTCCTGGAGATGTCTAGCTTCATCTCCAGGGCTCCACCTTTATTAGGCAGGTGCCTCTAGGACCCAAATATCCCTGACTGCAGTCTGAATAGTAGTAGTAGTAGTAGTAGTAGTGGGAAGTGAAGTAGTGGTACCCTGGGATGGGAGGAAACCCAACCAAGAGAGGGAAGAAGTTGAGAGAAGACCCCTTCTCTCAAGGAGGCAAGAGAACAGCTGTTAGGGAACAAGGTGGGGGTGGGGGGAGAGGCTGATGGGAAAACAGCTGGAGCTGGGAACAGCTGCTTGGGTAGGGGCTCCTAATAACAATTCTCCCCCTCCCTTTGCACACATATCCATGTTCACCATCCCACTCTAGGAGTGCCTGGTGAAGTGGAGCCCAAACCAGAAATACTAGAGTTTCAAGTGGGAGACAACGCCCATCTTAACTGTGACAGCTCCCTGCCCATTGACAACCTCAGCCATGTCGACTGGTTCTTTGTGAGTGCATAGATTCTTGGGGGTAAAAAGGGTGAGGGGAAGAAGCATGGGTAATACCACTGTCCCTTGGGAGGAGGTGATATTTCTACTCCCAAGGTGTCTTTGTGTTCCTCACATTGCCCCATTCATTCTTCCCTCCATCCCTTAGAAACACAAGGATCAACGCATTCACATCTTCCAAGTGCGCCGGGGTCAGGGCCAGCCTGATCCTGGTGAATACCAACACCGACTCACCCTCCTGGATGGGGCCAACCTATCTCTGGAACATGTTACCCCCCAAAGATGAGCGTATCTTCATCTGCCAGATCAAAGGCCTTGCCTCCCAAACCCAGGAGAAATATATCCAGCTCCAAATTTATAGTGAGTGCTTCTATCCATTCTTAACAGCATATTCTGCCCCTCTTGCCCAATGACAACTGTCTTGGGTTCCCATGCACTGTCTTTTCTCTCCTGTATGTCTGTGTGGATCTTCTGTTCTCTTCCCACTTCTACATGCCTGTCTATTGTCCCTCACTCTCTTCTCTGGTCAATCTTACAGAAGCCCCCCAAGGAGCCCACAATCCAAACCAGTGCTTCTGGTATCTCTGTGATCAGCAAAGTCCCTCAGGAGGTAAGGAATGCATAGGCATAGACAAAGTAGGAACTGGTGAGACAGGATTCAGTGGGTAAGGTCCCAAGAATACTCAGGTTTGGTATCTTTCTTCCCAGGTTGCCACCTGCAATGGGGAGGATGGATACCCAATACCTCATGTCACCTGGTATAAAAACCGGAGGCCCCTGAAAGAAGACAAGAATCGTGAGTAACCAACATGTCCTTTGCCCACCTGGCCACTGCCCACCTATGAAGAGACCCTTTGCGGTGCCAGGGTCTATTCCCATTTCTCTTATCTTCCTTGGAGGGAATATTGCCCATTCTACAACCATAACAGTTGTCATGATGTGGATATCAGATTGCATTGTACAAGACTTTCTAAGAGGCAGAGAATAGCACTAGCTTCCCAGTGTCCCGTAGTCAGGGACAGAGGTAGACACTGGCAGTGTGGCTTATTTAGGTGAGAAGGGGAGAAATGAATAAATGCTTGAGGCTGTACCCTTCTCTCCCCTTACCCACCCTTTTCAGGGATCAGAATTACGGAAGTACGAACCAAAGAGTCAAGTGGGCTTTACACCATGAGAAGCACTCTCTGGGCACAGCTGGATAAAGAGGATAAGGACGCCCTCTTTTACTGTGAGCTCAGCTACCGGCTTCCTGGGGGTGACCACATGAAAGAATCCAAGGAAGTCAATGTCACTGTCTACTGTGAGTCCTGTTCCTGCCCTTAAATGGGTCATTCTCCATTTGTGCTCGCAATGGGGCAGGATTATGTCAGAGCCAGGTAGCTGTTATTTCTTCTTCCCCTTTCCCCAGTCCAGCACCCCCTCCCCACCTTCTCCCATTGTATAGGAAGCTAGTGCTAACACTTTTACCTACATCCACTATCCCCCTTCCAGAGGTGGGTGGTCAGGGTGCCTGAAGCTGATTGCCATCCACCATCCTCCTCCCAGAGGAGGTGAAGCTGATTGCCACCCCTTTGTGTCCATCTAGACCCAATGGAGAAGGTGTGGCTAGAGGTGACACCAAACAGGCTGCTGAAGGAAGGAGACAAGGTCGAGCTTAAGTGCTTATCAGATGGCAACCCTCCACCACACTTCACAATCCGAAAGCAGGTGAAGAGGGCATGGTGGCCTGGACAAGACACCAGGCAATCTGGGTCAGGTTGGAGAATCATGGTAGAAAGCTAGTGTTTTCTTACATCAGGCTGTCTCCCTCTTTACCCTCCACCTGCCCTACTCTACTTGCTAGGATCCTACCAGTCTCAGCTGGCTTGAGGTAAAAAACATAAGTGATGGGGTCCTGATCCTGGAGCAAGCACAGAGGCATCACAGTGGACTGTATGAGTGCTTGGGTCTGGACTTTGAAACTGGAGTAGAGACAACTGACCAGCAGCAACTCTTGGTGAACTGTAAGAGGGCCTGATGCCCAAGGGGAAAGGGAGGTCATTGGGACGTGAAACCCTAAGCATGGTGATGGAAGCCAGCAAGGCTTCTTTGAGGTATGGACGGTTGAACTACACATATCCCAATGCTATTGGCTATGCCCCCAGATGTGTCCAACGTCCAGGTGCAACCCAAGGCTCCAGTGATGTCAGAGGGCAGCAGCCTGAAACTTAACTGTTCTGCAGAGAGCTCCCAACCTTTGGTATTCCACTGGAAGAGAGAAAAGGTATCCAAGCAGGATAGGGAGGTCTGGGGTGGGACAAGGTGAAAAAAGGCAAGCACACTAACTTCCACTCTCCCTGAACTTTCTCATCTAGACTGAGGAGATGTTGAAGAATGGATCTGTACTGCATTTGACCAACTTGACTAGGGAGGCAGGAGGAGGCTACCTTTGCGTGGCATCTGCACCCAAAGTGCCTGGCCTGAAACATACACAGCTGGTCAATGTTACCATTAATGGTGAGGTCCTTTTGGGGTAGAGATAAACTCACTTTCATGCTTTGTTGTTTTATTGGGTCTTTTCTCAGCTGATATTTTGATACCTATCTGCATTCCCACTGAAATGTGAATTCCCAATGGACAGGAACCCCTAACCCTGCCCAGTTAGAAAGGGACCAAGGCTAGGAAAATTTGCCCCAGTAAAGCATGCAAAGACATCCTAAGACACCTGGCTCTACTCCACCCTTCTACTGTCTCCTAGGGTCCCCATGGGTGATGGCAAAGGAAGCACACATGTGGGTAAGAGAGAATGAAGTGGTGAACCTGACATGTGAGGTCTCAGGACAACCCAGGCCCACCATCTCCTGGAGTGTCAATGGAACGGTGAGAGGGGGTTTCTACCCTTACCCCCAATAGGTTCTTCCTCCCCACTGAATACCCACACCCTAGCCACTGCTACCCAAGACCTGAGATTCTCCTTCACCCTCCCCACTCCTTGACCCATTGTCCATCTGCTGAGCAGGAACCATTTCTTGGACAGGTCCATGAACATGAAAAGGATTTTCAGACTATCCTGAGTACTTTGAAAGTGCAAGTGATTCCAGAACTGCTAAAGAAGGGTGCTGTGTGCCAGGCATCCAATTCCCTGGGAAGCAACAAGACTACTATCTTTCTGGAGCTGGGTAAGGTCTTCTGCTCTGCTTGGTACATGAGAGGAAGCAAGAAAAAAGCAAGCCCTGATGAAGCATTACTTCTTCCACTATTTCTAACCTACTTCTCTGCCTTCCAGTCAACTTAACCACTCTCACCATCACGACCACTGGGAACACTACCGGCAGCCAGAGCACCACCACCACCACCACCACCAGTCCTTCTTCTGCCAAAGCCAACAGCACCTCCACAGGTAAGTAGGGCCCAACTGGTAGATTAAGAAAGGGTAGGGCAGGGCAGAGAAGTGCTCATTCACTCACCTTACTCACTCCCCTCTTCCTTCCTGTGCCCACCCCAGGAGACCCAGTCAAGAAAGGTGAGTATTGCCTGACTTCCTCCCCTGCTTCTGCTGTGTGAATTGCAAACCTGGGCTGAGAGGGAAGGAGACAAGAGGAGAGGGGGAAAATGAGTCACAGACAGCAAATGGATATGTCTTTGGGTAGCAGGAACAAAGCAGGAGAGCAAGGGAGTGGTCATCGTGGCAGTCATCGTCTGTATCCTGTTGCTGGCTGTGTTGGGGGCTGTCCTTTATTTCCTCTATAAGAAGGGCAAGATGCCTTGTGGGCGATCAGGCAAACAGGAAATGTAAGAATAATGCTCCCTCATGCCAGCCTGCTTGCTGCCAAGGGTTGGCCCTGCCTGCTCCTGTGCTGAAGGGGAGATGTGGGGGATGGGGAGACAATACATGCTTGATTGCCCACCACCCCAGCTTCCATTTATCACACCTCCCAATCCCATTTCCCTCTGAACTATTCCCGGACCAGGGTCCACCTCACCTCACCTCCAGTGTTCCCCATAAGACCCAGTATTTCAGCCCTTGCCCCCTCGTGCCCCACATTGTCCACCTCTCCCTCCCTCCCCCTAGCACACTGCCCCTGGCTCGTAAGAACGAAATTGTAGTTGAAGTTAAGTCAGATAAGCTCCCAGAAGAGATGGGCCTCCTGCAGGGAAGCAACGGTGACAAGAGGGCGCCAAGAGACCAGGTAGGAGGCAGCTTCCCTGGCTAATGCCTATCCTGGCTCTTTCTCACTAGGGACGTGGGACAGGGCCCAACTGGTTCCCTCTCAACCCAGATATGTACTCTCCCTGCTCTTTGTCTTCCTTTTGAGAGATGGAGGGGGTCATGGAACAGGGGCAAACCTGATTCAGTCTTTTTGATACTATTTACAGGTATCAGGCTGAGGCTAGGGGTGAGGAGGGTTGAGGTTTTTTTTGTTTGTTTTTTGAAGAGAAGGCAGCTAGTAACAGAAACAAAGATCTGAATTCGGAAGATAGCAGAGGCCTTCTCTCATAGCCGTTTGTTGTAGTAGGTCATTAGGTGGGAAATAGAAGTTGTTTTATTTTTTATAAAATTTACAACACAAGGGGCATTTTTTACCAAGCTCAAACATGGGGACCCAATTGGTAGCCCTTTTTTTCCTTTCCCCCCATTCTTCCTCACCTCTGCTGCTTGTTAGGGGCTGCATCTGGTTCACCAGCTTCTGCATCACCCTCTCCTCCCTACCCAGTGCTGCTTCTTGCCCCCGGGCCACTATTCCTAAGTCCTCCTCTCATTTCTATTCTCCACCCACTTTCAGGGAGAGAAATACATCGATCTAAGGCACTAGCCCAAAGAAAATCCTGCCATGCTTCCTCCTCCCCTATGTGGGACAGCTTCTGCTTTTTTCACCCCTTCACCATCACCTGGGATGACCTTGGATAGATGGAAATGGCTCTCCTATGGCCTGGCTCATCTGCAGAACCCATTGTACAAGCCAAGGGAATGGGAAGAAGCCAAGTTCTATCATCTTGTCAAGTTTGCCTGGCCTTGGGAATGGGGATATCATCTCCTCTCTAAGGGGACTGAGTGGAGTTCATACCCCAAGCAGAGGTCTTAGGGTCCCAGGAGATCCTTTGTTTGATGCAGGATGTTGTAGCTTCCCAGCTCTCACATTTGTGGAGGTCTTAGAACTATGTTCTCCTCTCAATAGCTGAAGTGAGTGGTCCCATTTTTACTGGCCTCTTGGCTAGCTGAAGCTTTTCAGGTAGCCTTGATACCTAACACAGTGGTATCAATTTGTGGGAGTCATTGTGCCCTTAAACCAAAATCCCTGTCACACTATGTTGCTCATACCAGCTCTGGAGAGAGCAATCTCTGAAAGCCACTGACAACAGTGTTGTTGCTCAAACTGTCCCCTCCCCACTTTGGAGTTTCTCATGGCTTCCTATGGAAAGGCAGAGAGGGATGATATGTCCTTCATTCTCCACTCAGAAAAGTGAAGAGGAAACTACTGATCCACTGTCAGTAGGATGTAAGCTTTCAAGTGTCTTGTCACAGTGACTAACTTTGGTGGGAGGAAGCAGAAGAGTTTTTCTCTGTGAAACTAAATGGCTCAGAGTCAGGGATTTAACCTATGGGCTTGTTAGCACCATACTGTCAGTTGAGAAGCACACATCCGAGGATATGGACTCAACAAAGGTGAATGGTACTTTGAAATTGGAAATGGGATCTGGCCAAAGCTTTGATTTTATTTATATATATATATATTTCTGTTGGAATGTGTGTAAATTTACAAGTTTGTTGCAGGATATATATATATATGTGAAAAATAAAGTTGAACTATCCCCAAAATTATTCTGCTTCTAATCCCTTATTTAATTCTAGCACACAAGAACCAGGGGCTTCTAGGGTTGGGAAAGGGCCAAAAAGTTCATATATCAGATGCTTTGTAGCCTGCTGGAAGAGAACTTGGGCAGACCTCTTTTTCCAAGCAAGTGGCATGGTGATCTACCAAAGGAAACACAGAAATCATTTCTCACTGGGAAGCCTCTGTGCTTAAAATAGGAAGGTGTGGTGTGTTGGGAGACCACCAGTAGCCCTGCCAGCCTCTCCCCCGCAATACCCTCCTTCCTCCCCTTCTGACCACTTAGAGTTTCCCTCAAATATTGCAGTATTAACTTAACGTGTCAAAAGAGCTGGCCCAGACGCTTGGTAACCTGTTTGCCTCCTGTACCTCCAAAGTGCCTGGACAGCAAATCTGCTACAACAAAAGGAACTTTATTTAAAAATAATTTTTTTTACAGACATGGGTGCATGGAAAAGCTCTTCAGTTGGCTATGTATGGGAATGAAAAATAATTAATAAATAACATTAGTATAACAGACCTCTAAACATTAACAATGCACTGGCAAACAAAGTGGACTTAACCCAAAATGAATCTTAAAGCTCTAATTATTCTCTGCAAGAATATTTACCTTCTGTTTCTTTACAGGTGAGAAGTGATTAAATACTGCTAATATAAACTTTATATTAAGGACACATACTTTTTAAAATAGTCCATGAAAATCTTGTCTGAGTTTTTTTAAGCACTGATATACAAACTGGGATTCTTCATTCTGAAGAGAGAAAGTTACTGGTTCCTCTCTCCAGCCCCATCCATATAAAGAATTTTGAAATGAGAAATAAGTATGAATGAAAAAAAAATAACCTTTCTATCTCCCAATCTTTTTGTTAGTTACAAGTAGGGAGAAAATGAAGGAAACAAAATAGATAAAATACCATCAAGTATAGAAAAACTATTTTCTTTGCTTGAAACCAAAACTTAGGTTGAGGATACTTAGCCACTGAGGCTCTCTGAGGGGCAAGGAGAGGAAGTGATTGTGGCTCCCTCAGAGTTGTCTCCCTGGGGAACAGGAAAGCCCTGTGGAGGCACTAACTATTTCATGTCTAGTTTGAAGCCTTCACCTAGGGAGAAGAGCAAGGTGTCAGGAAAGGCAGGAGGCTCATAATTATACATGGGATACCTGAAAACCACTCTGGTCACATGAAAATTTCTACCCATCTTTCTTCTCCAGCTAACACCTCCACTGTAACTAAATGACTTGAATCATCCCAGTGATCCTGGGACAATGCTTCCTCTTCCAACTAAATGCTGTGACAGGGACAAAAGGGCAACATGTCTCCAACTATATATAAGCACTCCCTTCCCTGGCGACTTTCTTCTCTCTAGGGATTAACGGTACTGGGTGGGATAGGGCTGGGGGAAGACTCTAGGATCTCTAAGTTCTTAATATGTAACCAGGGATTTGGTGCTCCCATAGAAAGGCACAAGACATTTGGCTTTTTTCAGTGTGTGAGAAATGAATAACTTAAAATAAAGAAAAAATATCTTTCGGTTAAAGTCTTTATAAGAGAGCCAGGTCATCACAGAACCAGAGTGGGAGTAGTAATCACAGCTGCCACTTGCTCCTCTTTCCATGACTTTAAGTAGAAGGCTGGGGTTTTCCTTCAAGGGTAAGATTATCAACTACTTCGGCTCATGTAAAAAGTTAGAAAGGCCTCTCTGCTGGCTGGCAGTGTATCTGCAGGCTTTTCCACTGAGGCAGCGGAACAAAGGAGGGGCTGTCCACAGGAGAGAGGGCATCTGTTCTATAGCCAAACACAGCAGCCCCAACCCCAAAGATTCCATCCAGCCCCTGGTATGCTGGCCACACAACAGGGTCAGAGGTGGACCAGCAGGAGGGAACCAACACATGTGATACTTTAACATATGTGAAACGATAAGATGTAAGCCAGAACAGAGGGCACACAGTTGGCCTCACTCTGTTCAAGAAAGGTCCAAAGGGCTTACAGGCAGCAATGCTCACTCCTGTGAGCAGTGCTTCCCTCTGACTTCCAAATCTCTTTCTGAGGGTGACAGAATGAGATGAGTTTGCTGTGGAGTGACTCTTTGCATTTCTTCCTGGGCTTGTCCAAGAACATGGGCCCAGTCAGAAATGGGTTAAGTTGTGCAGATGCCAAATCAGTAAGCAGGAGTCCTAAGTTTGGCTAGGCACAAGCAGGCGGAGTGGTTAGACACAATTTTTTTTCAAGTACACTACCGAGGGGTAGGGACAAAAGGCCTCTAAACAACTATCTCTGCAGTAGCTGGCTCGCAGCATGACATTTCCCTTCTGATTTCCATTGGTTCCTCCTACACAGCACAACACTTTCACCTCTCCTCCCTTCTGCCTCGTTTTATGCCAATCACTGGGACAAAAGGCACTGGGGAGTTTCCTCAATATTTTACCCAGAGTACAGCCAGGCTTTGTACACTAGTAGATAGGGTGCAATCCATCTGATCAAATGTATCACTCTTCCTAAAACCATGAGCCTAAAATGAATGGTATCCTCATAGTTAACACATTGTCTTCTCTGTATACATAAAATGACCAGCAGTTCATTAGTTAACTGAGTTTGCCAATTCCCCCCAGAAAGACTACATGGAATTAGTAAGAACAAAAGAAGCAGGGAAGCAAAATAATGAGGAAAAGTTTTAAGTTCATAAAATGGGGCTGAAGATGTATTTTCCTAAGAGAGGCTTAATGAGAAAAGTTTCCAAACTTTCCATCAAATTCATGTTCCTGTAATTGTCAAAACTTTAAGACATTTAAATGCTATCATAAAGTGGTTTCTATTACACTTAAATTAGTTGACCTGAGAATGTATAGTCATATACCTTCCTCTCCCCTCAAACCTGAGACAGGTTGAAGAAAGAACTGGAAAAACTCAGAGGAACTGTGAAATGGCAAAGGCCTGTGTAGACAGGAGGAGGACGGGAAAGATCTCAGAAGGCTGATCAGAAACCACACCTCACACTTTCTTTGCTGACCCCTTCATATGGACCTCTCTGCTTGCATCAAAGCAATAAAGAAGCAAATTGAATGAGGACACAGGTATGAAATTCCTCTACACCTCAGGGATAGAAACTGATTATATTAAACTGTATGTTGGAAGGAGATCTATACATGTCATATTCAAAGAAGTAGTACACAAATATTTTAGGTTCAGCCAGACGTTAAAATAACTATCTAAAGTCAAACCCATGGCACAGTGGTCTTATGTGAATTGTGTTATTAAACCAACTTTTGGCCTCTAAAGGAAGTTATCAGAGAAGCTTGACACTTCAGAAACCAATCAACAAGCATTATTAAATACCTACACTGTGCTTGGCATTAGGGATACACAGATGAGAGTAACTGATTAAGTTAGAGAAATTTTACTAACAGATCCCCTAGGGGAAATCAGCCAATTCAATAAGATATCAAGACATAAAGAATACCCTGGAGAAAACAAACCTAAAGGAGACTAGAGAAGAGCATGGATCTGACAAACAGATTACAATAATTATCAAAGACGACTTGCAGTAAAAAAGATTTTAAAAGATCCCAGGAAATGTATGATCAGAAAAGATGAGTAGACCATCATGTAGAAAAAGTGAACGATAATAGATGGAGAGTCTGAGTGTCACAACGATACATACAAACTATTATTAAGAGGACCTCCAGTAGACTGAGTAGATATTCTTTTTTTTTCTTTTTTTCTTTTTTAAAATTTTTATAGGGTTAAGTAACTTGCCCAGGGTCACACAGCTAGTAAGTGTCAAGTGTTTGGTCTGAGGCCGCATTTGAACTCAGGTCCTCTTGACTTCAGGGCCAGTGCTTTATACACTGCACTACCTGCTGTCCCCTGAGTAGATATTCTAACACAGACAAACACTGATCATTATGAGAAGGTGGGTTTCAATTTGTACTCTTGAAGGGAAAACATGCAGATAAATGAGAACAATTCAGTGAAAGATTGCATGAGACTGTAATGGTTAAAGAGAAATTCCCACCAGGTTATAACTTTAGTCAGAACAGATTTAGGGGAAGGAAAGAAGTTTGAATGAAATACTGTGAATAAAAAAATAAAACAAATCCAACCTATTTTAGGGTTAAACTATTTTAAGTAAGTACTTCTGCAGAGTTCTCCAATAAAAGCAGCAAAACTATAAACAAGAATCATGATCTGGGTTTCTGGAATCCAGAATTGGATTCCAGGTGGTAGATTTAACACAATCATCAATCAGTCACAAACTACAGAACTTGTTCATCACCGTCATTCCATCTAAGTTCTGATGAATCTTTTTTATTTCTTACAATGATTTTGCCTAGTTATTTTCTTATTTTGGTCATTTTATTTTTTTCTTCCTTCTTCCTTTTAAGAAGGTTAGGTAAGCCTTTTCAAAGAACTAGCCTCAGCTTTATTAATTCTATAATTTAAAACAATTTTCTAATTTATCTATTTCTCATTTAATTGTGAAAATTTCCTCATTTGTTCTTACTTTGGGTTTACCTGTTGATTTTCTAATTGCATATTAGGTTCACTAGCCTTCAGTTTTCCAATTTTGTTAATGTATTTTCTTATAGAGATAATTTTTCCTCTAAGAACTATTTAGTTGCATCTCAGAAATTATGGCATGTTGCATCATCATTATGCATTATCTTCCAGTTATTATTTCTATGACTTTTTCCTTTGACCCATTCATTATTCAGGATGACATTATTAAGCTTATTTATGTGGATATCTTTTGTTTTCTCTGTATTTGTTACCAATTTTGTTGTTTTACAATTGATAAGGAATTAGCATTTCATGCAAAAGTAATGGAAGATAAGGCAGTATTAAAAGTTAGTCTGTAGTTTTGTTGTTTTGAACTTAGACTATACTTCCCAGAAGAAACAAATAGTAGTTAGGTTCCAGAGGTTGCCCCAAAAAAACACTTAATTGAACTATATTTACATAGTACAAATAGTACAAGCCTTGAAGCTTGTCTT